AGTGGGCTATTTGGTTTTTCAATTGGAGAAATGCTGACAGGATCAACAACAACTGCTCAGTCTGGACCCACAAATCAAACACCTGCATCAGCTACAGCTCCACAAGAAGAATCACTAGGTAAAAGTATATTATCAATGTTAAGTGGACCAAATCCTCCACAGGCTGCATCTAAAACTGCGTCTGTGCCTCAACCACATCCTCCAAGTGCAGCTCCACAGCCTCCCCAACAGGAATCACTTGGTAAAAGTTTATTAACAATGTTTGGAGGATCAAGTCCTCTGCAGACGCCTCCTCAAACCAAGCCTACTCCTGAGATACCTCAACAAGGAACTGCTCCTCCAAAAGAGCCCCCATCAGCAGGATTCCTTTCCATGTTTAGTGGTTCCAACACCCAACAGTCAACAGCCCAAACAGGATCTATTCTAGGAGGAATCTTGTCTGGGTCATCAAGTTCAACTGAAAGTCCAATGAAGGGACTGTTGTCAATATTTAGTGAACCCAGTCCTTCACAGAATTCCCCAGCAACAACATCATCTCAGCAAAGAGCACCTCAAGCACAAGCTCAACATGGTGAACCTCAGATACAGTCGAAGCCACAAGTGCAACCTCAAGCTCAAGGGCAGTCAGCCACTTCTGTTCTTGGTGGAATGTTGAGTGGATTGTCTAGCTCTACTGAGACTCCAAGAAAATCTTTGTTCTCCATGTTTGGCAGCCCCAGTACTCCTCAAACACCAGGAGCTGGTGAACGTGCAAACATGTCTTCTACACCAGGACCTACAGCATCTAAAGAACCCACAAAGGGTATACTATCTGTTTTTAATGATGCCATGACCTCTCCGCAACAAAATTCAAATTCATCATCTGCTATTGTCACTGGTACTACTGAGCCATCCACTGTTAATCTACAACAACGTTCTTCCCAAATGTCATCAGCTTCCAATAGCAATGTGTCAGTTTCAAAATCTATCAGTCAAATATCAAGTGAAACAAGCAATGCTACTGCTGAACTATCCACAGATAGCACTGCACATTCCACAGTGGATACTACAATTAAAGACACTGATATTGCATCTGTGCAACCAACTTCAGAATGTGTCACTGTGCAAAAGGAAACAAGCACAGAAATTGCTACCCAGGATCCTGCTCCCCCTAAAGAACCACCAGCCTCTGGTCTGTTGTCTATGCTGGGTGGATCTGGCCCACAAGCCCCATCCTTACAAGCTGGATTTCTTTCTGATGGTCCAGGAAAAAGTATACTTTCATTATTTTCTGGGCCCAGCACTGAGCCTGGTGCTAGAGAGACAGGTCCTACTACTGCACCAGGGTCTGTACCCAAGGACCCACCAGCCAAAGGTTTGTTCTCTTCATTTGGAGGTTCGGTCCCCCAGCCCTCTCCACAGACTGGAAGTTCTTTACTTGGCGCAATGTTTGGAGGCTCTTCACCCCAAACACCCGCATCTCAAACTGGAGGATCATTACTAGGTGGTTTATTTGGAGGGTCTGCACCTCAGGCTGATCTCAGCAAGACTGGAGGATCTGCTCCTCAGGCAGGAACATCCTTACTTGGTGGCTTATTTGGCGGATCTGCCCCCCAAGCTGTTGGATCTCAGACAGCAGGGTCTGTATTGGGAGGTATTTTTGGAGGATCTGTAGCTTCAGCTACAACATCTCAGAATAGTGGGTCCTTAAGTGGACTATTTGGAAGGGCCACCACCCAAAATTCAACAACCCAAAATAGCAGTTCTATATTGGGAGGTATTTTGGGGGGTTCATCTTCTCAAACCACCACTGTGCAGACTGGTACATCTCCTCTGGGGGGTGTATTACCTGGAGCTTCTGTTCTGAATGAGATACCTGGTAAAAGTTTACTTTCAGCGTTTGGAGGATCTGCTCCATCTGCAACACCCACTGCAACAGCTACACCAACATCAAGTGATGACAAGAAAATATTGACCACAGCTCTTGCTGATACTACTTCAAGTGTAACTGCGCTATCAAAGTCCACTGATGACACTGCTACTACTGAAACATCTGTAATTGATACTTCTACCAAAACAAGAGAACAGGTAGAAACACTTCAGCAACCTGATGGCACAGACCAGTGTCTTGAGACAAGCGTTAATAATAAAACCGAAATCACGGAAGAAGGTAATTGCCAAGATGCTAACAAGCTAACTACTCTCGCTGAAAATTCTCAACATAAAGAATCGGAAGTTTGTGCACCAACACAGCAACTTGAGAAACCAGAGCATGTGAGTGGCCCATCAACTCAAGATTCAGTTACACCTAAAATGGAAGAGGAAACACCAGCCACTCAGTCAGCAAGTTCTGTGGTTCAGGGACAACAGACGCTTCCAGAGCCAGAAAAATCTGTTGGTGACTCATCAGCGGATAAAGTTACAGATTTTATGTCCTCTCTGTTCAAACCATCAACTGCAGCTCCTGAAGGTAATCAGCAACAGAACGTGAGCTCCTTTTTTGGACTTGGAGGAACAGCACCTCAGGCTGGTACTGGTCAGGCTGGACCATCGATATTAGGGGGTATATTTGGAGGTTCAAACACCCAGACGGCAGCTCCACAGATGGGGGGATCATTACTAGGAGGCTTTTTCAAAGGGTCTGCGCCTCAGTCTGGTCCCCAAACAGCCACCCCTAATACAGGAGGCTCAGTATTAGGCGGGATGTTTGGAGTAGGATCCTCTGCCAAGTCTGCAGGTCCCCAGACTGGTGGATCTTTATTAGGTGGTATGTTTGGCGGATCTGCAGCAACAGCACAGCCAGGTGGTTCTTTACTTGGAGGAATGTTTGGAGGAGTCACTTCTCAGACTGCAGGATCGCAGACTGGATCCTCAATTCTTGGGGGCATAGGTGGATCTTTATTTGGTGGTATGGCACAACCACCCAAGCCATCTGAACCAATGTCAGCTGAGCCCAAGTCAACATCTAGCACTACTTCACAACCACAGATTAAGAATGAAAGTGTCATAACAAACGTTGCTCCATCTGCCACTGACACTGGTTCAAATAAAGTGGTGGACTCACCCTTACCAGATAATGACCAAGTAAAATCTGTCAACCTTACAAATAGTAGTGATGTGGCATCTGAGGCAGCTGCTGTTTCAAGTGCTTTAATAAGCAGTACATGTGACCTCACCAGTCAGATGGATATCGCAGCAAAAGAAATGGCAACTGTCGATGGAGAGGTGATACATGAGAAACCCATGGTCATTAAAGGAGACCCTGAGGGTAAAGAAAGTGACAAATCAGCCCCACCTAATATCCAACAAGCAGATATAGCACCTCAACCTAATCAGTTGCCCAATAATACAGAGCCAGCTCAGGCAAAGTCTCTGTTTGGGTTTATATCAGCTCAAAGTGATGCAGGAAAATCTCTTGGATCCTTATTTTCACCTGCAATGCCAACAGGTGCTCCATCAGGGGTTCAAACAGAAGCAGGGACTGGTCTATTTTCAGGATTAAAAAACCTTTCTGGCAGTCTGTTTCAAGAGGAAAAGCCTGTTGCTGGAAAACAAGAGCCACCCACCACTTCATTATTTGGGACAAAAATAAGTTTTCCTTGGCAGGCAGAGCCACCCAAGCCACAAGCTGTTCCAGTTGTAACATCTCAACCCAAAGCTATCAACACATCAAGTGGTCAAACACTCACTGTACAAAAGGTTGCAACCCCTGATGCCCAAAAACCTGAATTGGTAGGTTCCAAAGATGAAGTAGCAAACCCCCAGATTTGCATCTCCACTCCTGAAGTAGATCCTTCAGCATCCCTGACCCTGAAGGAGAAGGAAAGACTTGTAGAAACAACCCCCTCTGCAGGTCCTACCTCTGGAATGCAGCTGGACAACCAGTTCAAGAAGGATCTATTGAATACAAAAAGGCTAGTAAGAGCATGATAAATGGTATTATCCCTCACCATTTATGATGCATTGACATTTTGGAAAAAATGTATTCCCTGTCCAGCTCTGCAATCCATCCTCACTAGTTTCATTTCATTTTCAGCTTGATCTTACATATTTGTCTCTGTTTGTGTGTCTATTCTTTGATATGTGTAAATTCCTGTCTAGCATCTCCCACAATTTCATTTGTGATTTTAAAACAGAATTCCAAAACAAAATATGCATATTTGTACATGGACAATTAAAAGTAAATGAACATAATAATAAATTACTGCATTCTAGACAGGATTAGATGTTCTACTCTGACAGAAACTGATTGGTTTGACTGAACTTTTATACTTAAATGTATACTGTGTACTGCAAAACACCTGTAGCTAATTCAAATGTGTCAACACTTAGGGTCTACAAGTTTGTTTCATTTTTAATTTATGAAAAGGCATGTTTATATGTTAAATATAATAATGACATTACAAGTCATGTACATTTTGTTTGACCATGGAATTCTCATTTGTGTTGTCTATCATTTTAAATGGGGAATTATTTTCCATCTGTTAAAGTCAATTTTAAACCTCCTCACCGTTAAACAACATATGGGCACTTTTGCTTTAAACTGAAACTGGTTATGAAATTCCATAAATTTATATAAAGGTACAATTTAAAACACAACTCTGCATATTTTATTGTCCACATAGACTTTAACCATTGTAAGAAACATACATACATTTTGTCTTGTAGATAGTTGAAAGGAATATAATATAGTAAAGGACAATCAAATGTGCAGATATAAAATACAACCTTTTTTTCTTAAGGAAAATGTATTTTGTACCTCATATCACAAAATTTTGTATAATCTTATGTTTTACATGAACATTTTCATTATTTTCCATCACGCAACAGCCTCTTTGCAAGGTTGGCAATCTTTTAAGGGCATGATGTGGTGTATGTGTGTACTATACCAATCAATGCATAGAGATGATATTGATAAAAGTAGACATTAGCTTTATAGGTTAGTAAATGTTTTTCATTTAGTTCTGATAAATAAAATCTTAATATTGAATATTTTCCTCACTCCTCTCTCACCAATGTAGTCCAGTGGAAAGTAGTCGTTTTGGGTCATCAGGAAACCTGAGCCAGACCAGTTCCCAGCTTAGTGGCCAGGAGAGCACCGGAGGGTCAGAACTGGAGGAGTCATTCCATTCCTACCACAGTACCGGCTTTCACCCCTCCTCCAATGGACAGCCACGTACAAATGGACACGCTCCCACCAATGGACACTCGTCGGCTGGTGAGCAGGAGATTCACAGGCTTACTCCGGAATCAGCACGAAGCCTGAAAAATGACACCCCAGTGGAGACAGTATTCTCTAAACTCCAAAGGTACTGTCCTTTGGATCCTTGGTACTGGCTTTGTATTTACTATAATGAAGATATTGCCACTTGACTGATAAATTCATGTCATCTAGGTTCCATGATGACGGACCACCGCTACCATTTTCCCCGTCTAGAGTTCGATGGTTGAAGGCCATCAATAAAGTCAGGGTTCAGCTCCGGGAGGTAGGCACCGTTTCTCATGTTTGACCCCAATACCCTCTTCTTCCTTACTCCACCACATGTGCATACAAATACCCGCAATTCTTTTAATGTGGTTTAGTTGAACCTCTCTGGTTGTTTAAGAATATGCACTAAAATGTATTAGAATCATATTATATCTGCAATGTCTCATTTGAATTTTGCAAGAAAACACATGCTCTTCTGTGCCCTTTCCGTGACACAGTAATTCTTGGGAACCAATACGGTGTTTATTATAGCTTACTGGTCATAACAATGGTCCAGCAAACATATGCTGATTAAATGGTGATGTGGAATGATGCGTACCTGTACCATTTTTTTTATGTCACCTTTGCAATCTATTTTATATTCTCAATCTTTGCTTCCTCTTTCTCAGTCTTCATTCATTAATTTGAACTCTTTTAACAGTAGCCTTGTTTCTAGTTTCTTAAATAATTGTCAGGTGACGTTTTAGGGAAAGAGAACAGGAGAGATGTTTATTCTTTGTTTATTTCAAATTTGTCTGCTCTATATAATTTTTTGATTAAGTAATCACACCCTGATTATGAAGTGATGATTTGTTCCATTTGGATCGGCTTCTTTCAGACAGATTAAAAAAAATTGTTTACATCTAATAAATCACATGGCAAACCCCTTTTTGGAATCAAATGCTATCTAGTGTCCTACCAGACAAATTTCTAACCATTTCAGGGGAATGTGCGTCTGTCCTGTGTGTCCTGCATCCATTTAAACTCTCTAGAGAGTGTTCATAATGAAAACATCAGAATCTCTCAGCTAACTGGTTCGTCCCCTTCATTAATCTTTTTATAGCGTGGCAGTAAATGAGTAGCCTCTCGTAGCCTGGTCGCTTGGCTCCATTACAATGATTGGTTTCCATGGACTGGTTGAGACGAACATGTACTGTAAATGACGCCTGACTGAAGACATGAGTATAAACGGAGAGCGAGATGAAAGCTGTCTAACTGCCATTTATTACAGGACTTAGGGAAACACTTAGGACACAAAGCAAAATGCTGAGAAGACTGTAATGAATTAGAATTGGTTGTTAAGCTGTCAAGCAGTGTCACAGAAACCAGAATAATAATAAGAATGCCAGACCTGACACTAAAACATCTTTGCAGGCTTGTTTCAAACCAAAAATCATAAAGAAGGGAGACGTGTGACATGTTTTTAATTTCTTTGACCATTTTTGCATCGCGGAAACAGAAAAAGAAGAGTGTGTGAGACTGAGTGCTGGCAGTTTTACAGCCTCAGATTACCCTTGTGCTGGAATACATCACCAGAGGACGGAGGGAGAGCGAGTAGAGAAAGCAAGAGGGTGGGAGGGAAGTACAGATGACTACTTAACTGAGGGTGAACCGCTGCGAGGTTGTTGTTTGCCACTGTCGCTCTTGACGTTCTGGTGGTAGAAATTAAGGATTCAGCTGTTTCCTGTGTTCTTCAAGTTCTGCAGGATTGATTGAGGCACAGAAAAACATTCAATAATACAACTGGGATACATTGTTGAAAAAAGTGAAGTCACTCTTTTGGATCGTTAGTGTGGATTTGACTGATTTTCGAAAGATGATATCGACAGGTTGTTCTTTATTATAATAACAGGATTATAACCATATAAGGTAAGGTGAGGTTTTCATTTTAATACATGTCTATGTGCATTTAGTCTTAAGTTTGTGTTTAATGTGTTGTACAACAAATGTATTTACACGAGATCTCGCTGTTTATGTTAATTGCTAGAGGATTAAATAAATCATCAGAAATGACAGAACATGTAGAAATTATATTTTAATGGAAATCATAATGCTCCTAGTAAATTTCATAATAAATGCTTAACAGCTCAAATTTTAATTCAGAGTAATGATATAAAACATTATGGTTTCGAAGGCTTTTCTTCTCAATCGTCATCTGGCTGACACACCGGACAAATATGAAATTACCGATCTCTGTCTAGTATTAGAGACATATTTATGTTGCGTTTTGGCCCCTCACTTAATCCTGTCAATGTCAACTCAATTGTCAATTCTGTCATTTTTACAGGACATAGATTGAAAAACAGTTTCTCTCTGATCCCCTGTGTAAACATATCAGTAGACAGAACATTTAAGTGCGCGAGACAAGTACGCAAGACAGAACATACAAGTACACAGGCTGTAGGCAAGGGGTCAGAGCTATCAAGCTGTGCAGCTGGCAGGGTTCTGAAAGAGTGACATAGCCTCAGAGGAGAGAATTGACCTGTCATCTAATTACCGTGCTGTCTTTCCAAAGCATCCTAATTACAGAGATCTAAGCAGCTGCATGGTGCTCATTCTTCAAGTTGCCACTCAGTGGAGGTCAGTAAAGACAATACTGTCCATCACATGTCTTAACTGTACAGACAAGTACCGTCTCTCGCTCTCACGCAGTAACCTCAAATCTAAATGTAGGTTTTCAAGTGTGCTAAAGTGCATTAACCTCACTTTGCACGGTCATAGTTTGTTGACAGCTGACACCCACCTTGTAATCACAGTGTCAGAAGTTATAATTCTTTACTCCTTTTTGTGCTGTCGAGCATTCTGGTCATGAAATAGTTGAATAAGTATAACAATCAGCATATTTATTTAAGTTTTTTGAGTTTCCACTGCTTTGTTGTCAAAATAATGCAGTTTCCTTAAGCCAGTGATTGTTCTCACACCACTCTAAGGTGGAGTCCCTGAGGCAGTGGTTTATCCATGTGTGGGAACAACTAATCAGGAGTACCACTTCTCAGGGATGTTCCCCAGAGGACACCTCAGTGGTCATGATGAACCCTACACATCAGAGCTACCTCCGCCCTCGCCAAAGAGGCCAGACCTGCAGCGGAAGGGATCACAGAGCCCCAAACTTTGGCAAAGCCTGCATACAACGACGCAGAAGTGCCTGCAGGGGGCAGAGGATATGTCCCAGCATATCCAGTCATCAGTCGACACTACCTGCTGCAAAGCTGAAAACATCATTTCTGATTGCCAGGATGGCATTGGGATTTTGGACGATACTATACGCAGGCTCACTGATGGGTCCAAGAATAAAGAAGAGAATGTGGAGGAGGAGAAATCAGAACAAGGCTCTGGTAACATAGTGGAACATATCCTGAAAGAGCTAAAAGGCATCAACAAGATCCAGGAGGAAATTTCTGACCTGAGGCTGTATCTAACATCTGTGCGAGGCTCAGTGGATGAAGTGTCTTGTTGTGTGGATGCAGTGCTCAGTGAAATAGGTGAGCTGTACTCTGGGGCTTCAGCTGCAGCTCATCCGAGTCATGTGTCTGAAACACCCCGTGTCAGACGAGGAAGCCTGGGTAGACAGAATGCTATCACATCTCTTTACCATACAGACACTAGTCCAGTGTTGGATCGCAAAGATTTAACATGTATACCTTTTCACAGAACATCTAAACAATGGCACGTTGATGGAAACACTCTCACTCAGCCAGACCAGCCAACGGACCAAGAGCAGAGTTTGAAATTGAACATGCTAGGGACCACAAACCTTGACCTCTGCTACCTGGAGCTTCATGGTGGCCGTGAATACCAAAGCACCAGCTCTTTGTCATCCTGTCACAGTTCCAACTGTCAAGAAGCAGCTTTTCTCTCTGGTGACAGAGAGTATGCTAGATGGCCTCATGCTGATATGCAGCACAGTAGAAGTGCAGAAGGAGGCTGGAGTGAGGAGGATATCTGCTCTTGTGCAAACAGTGGAGAAGAGGTAGATAATTGTCTTAATGTTTGGGACAGGTGTGCCACAGATGAAACACGGAGCAGTACACCAGGTCATTCTTCACACAACAGTTCTGAGCATCTCTCATTGCTGTTCGGACTCCATTGCAACTCTCCTTCCAGTTCTTCTAGTATGGTGGACTGGACACCACCAAGGTTACAAACTGAGGAAGAAAAACTGAACTGCAACTATGCTACAAACTGTCCATACTCATATAGTTCCGGTTACCATACGATGGATGCTTGTGCAAATGATCTGGACAGTGGACCCTCCAGGAGCCTGAGTTGCTCCACTGTTCTGTTGACAGACTGTGATGATGTTTATCTGGAGTCACATTCACCATGTGATGATTGTCCATCTTCTGGTCACACTCTTGATCTCGGGTCCGCTGAGAGTTTGGATAAGGAGTGGACAGACCCCAGCATCTCCAGGGGTGATGGAGGAGAATCATTGTCCCAGGAGTCTTCTGAAATAGATTCTGATAGTATACCCAAGACCCCCAATGTAGGTTTTGATGCAACAACTTTCAGCAAGGCTGTGCTCACTTTTAGGTCAGCTTTGAAAGGGGCTTTTAAAAAGTTGGAAGGATCCAACCCTGAAGATGGAAAAGAGGATAGTGGGGTAGAGCCATCCCTGTCCCCTATCAGGCAAGTCAGTGAATCCAAGGAGAAGCAAAACAGTACAGAGAACACTGAAGGAGACATTAGTCTACCAGATAATCAAGAACAATTTGACACTCCAAAGGAGGACAGTGAGATTTCAGTCTATGTAGATTGTGGGGAGACTCCTGAGGACCTGTCATTAAATCTTCAAGCATCCCCTCATCAAGTAAGCCACTCTCCCTGCACTCCTACTCAGTCTCACACAGTAGAATTTTCACAAGGAGAAGGAGAATGTCCAACAGATGGGGAACTGTCCAACCTTGATCTTACACCAGATCATTCTCCACCAAGGCAAGACAAGAATCCACTGGGTCCAATGCCCATAACAGATGAGGTGCGGTTAAGTCCAATCAGGGAAAACCATGATCTTGACAACATCAATGAAGGAAAACCTACTGATGCCGGCCACAGAGAGCGTATCGCAAATTTCCAGCGCATTCTGAGAGAAAAGAGGCAAACCCGTCATAGACTGTCCAAATCTGCTCAGGGTTCCCAAGGGTCCCACGGGTCCCATGGCTCCCAAGGGTCTCAGGGATCCCAATCTCAAGATGAGTTCATCCCAGGTATTTTTTGAAGGATATTTTCTCCGGCTTCACATCACTTGCAAGTCCACTTAAAATAGTTAAATTACATAATGGTGACTAATTAATGGAAAAACTTGAAAATGGTTTGCCATCACCTTAGTAAGATACTGTCTCTTGGTTTTCCTTTAATTTGCCACTTTGTGCATCTTAAATCATGCAGTCATCAAAATGATTATATGTCAAGAGAATTAAGTTGTTTAGATGATTTCGTTTCTCACTTGAAATCACTTTCTTGTAAATGTTCTAACCTTCAGCTTCTCCAGACAATTTCCTAATACCTCTGTGATTTGTTTTGTTTTTTTTACTTGGCAGAGTGTGGGAGAGAAGATAATCAGGTCACTCATCTAACATTGGCTCATTGACATTTAAGCCACTGTTCTTTTTTTCCGTTGATTTTAATTGCTGTCTGATAATTGTGGTTATTGTTCACCCCATTATTTGTTTTGCTGTCTCTGTGTAAATGAAAAATTCAGCTTGAGCACACGTCTAATACTAATGTACAGCATGGCATGCAAATACTGCAGGTTATTGTTAGGGCAGATATGTAATATTCATTGAAATCTTAATTTTGTTGTTCTGTAAAAGGCGTTTCAGTTATTCGATTTAATAAATAGTTAAGCATTTGTTTCATGTTGTAGCATTAAATCACTTATCTCCAACTCCAAAATCCAAATCAGAAACATTGGAAGAGAGAATCCGAGACAAGACTTTACCTTTTATGAAGAAGTAAAAGACCTTATGTGCATGTGTCATCTTCCAGGCACAAGTTTGGGGATTTTGTGAAATGTCTACAGACAAAAAAAGTTTTAATTCATTTTATTTGCATCTTGACCTGTGAACCACAAATCAACATAATGTGCATTTCATCTTGTACAAATAAACTTCATCAATGTTTATTTGTGCCTGTGTTTTAAAAGTATTACCACTTGTTTTAAATTGCATGTTCTGTGACATCAGAGAGGTGAAACTAAACCACTTTTAACTTTTCATGATCCGTGTTTTTTTTTTTTCTCATAATAATACTCCTGTGTGTGAGTCTATGTAAGCTTCCAGTCTAGATTCATATGCTCAATATCTTCTAGGTCCGAGATGAAGAATCTAATCCTAGACAGGCCTGGGTCAAACCAGGGTAAGTTGTATATAATCACCCATTTACATTTTATTTTCTTGCTGTGACCATTTTCTACACCGATGTTTTTTTTGCATTTGAGGCCGTTGTTTATCTATTCACGCATTTTTTTCTGTGCACAGTGGTGGTTCTGGTCTGTATGGAATCGACAGTATGCCAGACCTGCGTAAAAAGAAGCCAATCCCCTTGGTCAGCGATGTGGTCAGTACACACTATTCTTTTGCAGTTTTTACACTGTACGTCATATGTCACCATGTTTGTTTTGTACTTTCTGTGTAAGTTCATGTCTTTCTCACCGTGAGACCACCTGCAGATCTCACAGTTACTATTTGACCTCTGAGCTACGTATGGGATGAGATTGTTATCGAGACAAATATGAAACCAGACTGTTAATTTCTCTCTCCCTCCTCTCTTAAACCTGAAACTATTCCCCACAACTCTCTTGAATGCATTCACTCTCCTTGGTCAGGCTATGGTAAGTTAATAGTACCCAGCTGCAACTCCCTTTTTTACTAAAACACAAAATATCAAGTAGGACTAAAAAAAAAAACCAGTAGCTGCCTCAAACCTGAATGTCTTGTAGCATGTTGATCTGTTTGATCGCAGACCTCACAAATTAAAACGATTGCATGCATCCTCTTGGTCATGGGTAGCTTTTTCTCCCTACTTGATATTATCAGTAAAATACCCAATCACCTAATCCCTCCCCCACTGTTTTGGTTCATTTCTTTTCTTACTTGCTGTGCCATGGAAATCATAGATGGGTTGAAAACTTACTAACCCTCCAATCTGTGGCAGATGCTGCTATTGCTTCATAATATTACATCGATGTAACTTACTAATACTAATGTATTTTTGATCATCTGGTAAGAATTCACCAATAGGGAAAATATTGGATAATTATTGATAAATATATACGTATACTCATGTATGTATATATTTATACGATTATAATACACGTTTCTGTTTGTGTAGTAACCCTACTCACCACCCTTACAACCTCCCCAGTCACCTTTTTAACCACACTGACCCCCTAGTTTTAGTAATATTTTGGGTTTGTGCTTGCTTTTGGGTTGTATGTGTGTTTGTTCAACTGTAATATTAAGTCAACTTTCCTTTGTCGCCTGTTGCTCAGTCCCTTGTCCAAGCCAGGAAGGCGGGTATCGCATCTGCTATGGCTGCGCGGTCCTCGATCAAGGATGAGGAGTTGGTGAGTTTAACAACTTTAACTTTCTCAGCCCAAATCTAATATCACCACAAGATATTTTTTTTAATTCAGTGCTCTCGTTGCACATCTCCCATGCATTGAAATACACATTCTCTGTTCTATAGAAAAACCATGTGTACAAGAAGACACTGCAGGCTCTCATCTACCCCATATCTTGCACGACACCGCATAACTTTGAAGTGTGGACTGCCACTACACCCACATACTGCTATGAGTGTGAGGGGTTGTTGTGGGGAATCGCACGCCAAGGCATGCGTTGCTCGGAGTGCGGTGTCAAGTGCCACGAGAAGTGCCAAGAGCTGCTGAATGCCGACTGTCTGCAGCGTGAGTGAAGCCCCAAACACAGAAAATGCTCATACGTGTAGTTCACAGAAGTCCACAAAGGATTTTTCTTTGGTGTGCAGGTGCTGCGGAGAAGAGCTCTAAGCACGGAGCTGAAGACAAGACTCAGAATATCATCATGGCCATGAAGGACAGGATGAAGATTCGGGAAAGGAACAAGCCAGAAATCTTCGAACTCATCAGGGAAGTGTTTGTCATCAGCAAAGCCATCCACGCACAGCAGATGAAGACCATCAAACAGAGCGTTCTGGACGGGACCTCGAAGTGGTCGGCCAAGATCACCATCACAGGTATGCCACAAATGACAAGTTAGAAAAAAGTGGATCAGCTCAACTAAAACCTCAGCACCTAAGCATTAATCTTGAATTCTTCGTTAGGCTAATGTTCACTCTGTGTGTCTTTGTGTAGTTGTTTGTGCACAAGGACTTCAAGCAAAGGACAAGACGGGATCCAGCGATCCGTATGTCACAGTTCAGGTGGGAAAGACCAAGAAAAGAACCAAGACCATTTATGGAAACCTCAACCCTGTCTGGGAGGAGAAGTACCACTTGTAAGTCACGACATTTTCTTGGTTGTAAAATATGTGGATAGAAGTTTTTTTGTATTAACATTTGTTTATTTAATATTTATTTTTCATTTTCCCTCTTTTTCGCTAGTGAGTGCCACAACTCCTCAGACCGAATCAAAGTGCGTGTGTGGGACGAGGATGATGACATCAAGTCCAGGGTTAAGCAGCGTCTCAAGAGGGAATCTGATGATTTCCTCGGCCAGAGTATTATTGAAGTTCGAACGCTGAGCGGAGAAATGGACGTCTGGTATAACCTGGGTCAGTATTGTGTCCTGCCCTGTCTAAAGATGACTTAATTAAAGGGATAGTTCACCAAAAAATGGAAATTCACTCATCTACTCACCACTATGTCTATGAAGGGGTGAAGTGTTTGAGTCCAGAGGTGGAGAGGTAAACGGCGTTAAAAAATAGCTGGTTCCACTAACAAAACTTTGTCATAATGAAGGATTGATCCACTTCTTATGGGACGAACATTCTCAACTTGTTTATCTCTCTGCTCCTAACAGGTCACTTTTCAGTCCAGCCAGTGTTTGTTTGAACCTCATTACCCACGTTTCTTTTCCCTGCAGCAACATATCATTTTTCATTTTTGTAGGTAGAAAAAGAGCAGCCCCAAGGCCCATGTTGGTCTGCATGACAATACTGGCTTTCCCATGTAATCCCATTCTATGAAATTCTAAATCAGTCTCTTTACAATTCTCTGGGAAAACATCCCCGTAAGACTTCCCTGGTACTGCACCCTCGTGGATTTTCATTTATATGGAGCGTAAATGCCTTTTCAAGTACAAGTGCTTTATCAGCTAATCGTAAATGAGCGGTTATCTTCACCTCAGGCATCACGTCATAACGTTTTGATCTTTGTCATTTAAAAACACTCTTTATTTCCACATCCATGTTAAATACAGGAGCGAGGCCGTCAGTTCTCAAGCACAAAGCATCTCTTTGTTTCTGCTTGATTAAAGTGCTGAAATTAACTGGGACAATAATAAATCTTCCACTGGAACAATAATTCACTGAATGTGAATGTGCCTATAAATCTGCTGTTGTGCTGGATTTAATATCCTCGATCTCACATTTAACAGAATATTCCTGTAGGTTGGAGTCATTAGGAATTAGAAATTGAAGCAAAATTTATTATCAGTCATGTAATACACTCTGTGCATTTCAAACATCTTCTCTACTCTTATCATCATCTTCTCCGAAGCACCCTCCCATGCCCTCCTTTCACTCCCCCCTTTGTCCTCCTGATGTGTGATTATCAAGCAGCAGCACTCCAGTCGGAAATCGACCGCTCTGCCGACATGTACAAATTACCCCTAATGATGTGCCTGTCAGGGCAAATAGCAGGGGTGAGCCGCCGAGCACTCCACCTCCAGACAAGCAAGAGCTCAAGTGTCCTGGATGATCAGGCGCGAATCCATACGTCCCACTGCCATTGTCTCCCTCACGATCAGGACTTCTATTAGCGTTGCCGTCTCTGCGCTGCCATCTAAGTGTAGAAACAGATCCCCCTACAATAGAACTGCTATGTTAATGGTCTGTAATTAGTGTTGTGTTAACAGACCTGGTTTCGTGTGTGCCACAGGATTGCATTGGAGTGTATGAGAATGTGCAGGTATGCAAGTGTGCGTGCGGCTGAATGTGTTTGTGTTCGATTACAGAGAAGAGGACGGACAAGTCGGCGGTGTCGGGTGCCATTCGCCTCCAGATCAACGTGGAGATTAAGGGAGAGGAGAAAGTGGCTCCGTATCATGTGCAGTACACGTGTTTGCATGAGGTGTGTGCTTCTGCAGAAACCATAAGATGTGTTAGGATGTAATGCAATATTAGCATACGTAGACGTGCTACTAAAGTTTCACCCACGTTTATAAAACCCAAATATACTCGTTAGTTTTGGTGTAAAAGTCTAAAAAAAAATGTTCCTGCTACATCCTATTACACCACTTCTCTCTCCACTGCAGAACCTGTTCCACCATTCGAATGACATGCTCGGACAAGGTGTGGTGAAAATCCCAGACCCTCGTGGAGATGATGCCTGGAAAGTCTACTTTGACGACGTGGCTCAGGAAATTGTGGACGAGTTTGCCATGCGCTACGGGATCGAGTCCATCTACCAAGCCATGACGTGAGTGTGAGACATCACAGCGGACACAAACTGTCTCCATAGCTCTCTCTCTCTCTCTCTCTCTCCATGTATGTGTCACCTCTTCATTTCCCCTTGTTCCTCGCCTGGCCTCCCCACCTTTGTCCCCGTTGGCCTCCACATGAAGGAAAGTGAGTTATGAATTGGCCGAGGATGGATTTGTCTCCATGAAATGTCATGCTCCATACAGATGCCTGTTAGCTGGGCCCATCACTCACAGAAAGCACTCTCCGATGGGCCGTCCTTCAGCCTAAACGTACCAGCTAGCTGATGGGCAGATGAAATGACCGTTCCTAATAGGGATCATTAGGTTAAAACAAGACCCTTGAGAGAAAACAGTCTGAGCAGATAAAGGCAGAGCTGTTCACGCTGTACGCCCACGTTGCTTTGACAGAACCTCCTCTTCATGATAATGAAATATCAGGTGTGAGCAGGTGTAACTGGAGGGAGTCGAGCCCCCAGGTCTTTACCAGGCTTTGTTTGTGCTTCTCTCTACAGTCACTTTGCCTGTCTGTCATCTAAGTACATGTGTCCCGGGGTTCCTGCAGTGATGAGCACCCTGCTGGCCAATATCAATGCTTTCTACGCCCACACTACCGCCTCCACCAATGTGTCCGCCTCCGACCGCTTTGCTGCCTCCAATTTTGGGGTTTGTATTACTAAAGCACACACACACACACACACACACACACACACACACACACACACACACACACACACACACNCACACACACACACACACACACACACACAATACAAGATGTCTCTGTGTTTCTCCTTCCTGTATACAACACAACACACACAGCTTTAAACTTTCTCCTTGTGTTTTTGTGTCTATATCTTTTCTTCCCCACACAGAAAGAACGCTTTGTCAAGCTCTTAGATCAGCTGCACAACTCACTGCGCATTGACCTCTCAACATACAGGGTAAGACTTTTATTGCACTAAATAAAATAACTGATATATTTCTCACAGATTGTATTGTTGCCTTAAATCTGAAGAAAGAAATGCTTCATCAGTGTCATGGTGAATTAAACTTCTTACTTCTCTTCTGTAGAACCACTTCCCTGCCAGCAACAAGGATCGTCTGCAGGATTTAAAATCCACCGTGGATCTTCTCACCAGCATCACCTTCTTCAGGATGAAGGTAGCAAACAGTGTTTCATCCGCTGTATCTGTCTTTGTATTGTCGTTCCTCTGTGTGGAATCTCATGCAGAGGGTTACTGGTTCTGTCCAAGTCGATTAAGCGTCAGTGTCGCTCCTTCCATCTTGTTGTTCAGGTCCAGGAGCTACAGTCTCCGCCCAGAGCCAGCCAGGTCGTGAGGGACTGCGTCAAGGCCTGTCTCAACTCCACGTTTGACTACATCTTCAATAACTGCCACGAGCTGTACAACAGACAGTATCAACCTGCAGACACAGTGAGTCACATGTTGTTTATTCATCAGCTCCAGAAACCTTTCAAGTTGCCATACTATGTATGTCTTCTCCTTTGCTGTGCATTGTATTGAACTGACTGTGTGTCTCTTTTCTAATCTAGAACAAGGAGGACGTCCCTCTGGAGGAGCAGGGTCCCAGTGTCAAGAACTTGGACTTCTGGCCCAAACTCATCATGCTCATCGTCTCCATCATCGAAGAGGACAGGAACTCCTACACACCTGTGCTCAACCAGTTAGTTTATTTTATTAAAAATAGCTCAGCAATACAGACAGTTTGAATTCATCTTTACCCATCATTTTAAATCCAGATGTTCAGAAGCACTTCAGTCATGATACTCTGGGATATATGTTTATTTACATCCTGGTGTTTTCTTCCAGGTTCCCTCAAGAGCTGAGTGTAGGGAAGGTGTCAGCAGAGGTCATGTGGACATTGTTTGCTCAAGACATGAAGTATGCTATGGAAGGTAAGTCCCAGCCTGTCTTATTGTCCCGCTCAGTTATCTGCAGAACTGATTTGATCTCCTCAGAAGAAGCATCTTAGATCTTTTATAGCATTATTCTACTGTGTTGGATTTTGGACATGTGCAAAGCATGAGGTGAAAACCTGAAGCATCACGTGTTTAAAAACGTAATGAGGAAGATTCTGGTGAAACTGGAAATGTCCTGCAGAGAGGAATAATTCCATAGTAGAAATTATAAGATGGCACAGAAGATGTTAAAGTTAGAAATGACTGTGCAGGATTTGAAAGCTGCTTATGTCTCCCAGGAGCTTCTCTGCACTTTTTGTCCGCTGCACTGTACGTTACTGTACAGCAGCCCCAGCGCTCCTCAGAGGCAGTCAGCTCTTATCCCAGCCCCCGTCCTCAAGATGAAACCCTGTATCTCTATCGCACACTGCTGCACAGAATGGTGGCCCCCTCATTTTCAATCTGCTTTAATATTAAAAGAGATGGAAGTATGTGTTCGGAGATTTTGTACTTAAGTATTTTAACTTTCACTGTAGTAGTTTTTTGTAGGTCACTGCTAAAGATACTCCTGGGTATATTTGAGCTCACCTTTATGGTTGTATGTGTTTCATGGTACCTCAAATAAATATGCACACAGCCACAGTTGATTTAATAACAATTTGATTTAATTACAATTTAATATATAACATCAAATAAATCAATCTCATGTATTTATATCAGAATTAATTTATTCCCACAACAGGGATCAAGGATGTGATTTGAATGATCGCTTTTTGTAAAAGGTTGAGATTGTCTGCGGCTCTCCGACACCAGAGATCATGTGTTTGTATCCGCAGAGCACGAGAAGCACAGACTGTGTAAGAGCACCGACTACATGAATCTGCACTTCAAGGTCAAGTGGCTCTACAACGAATATGTCAAGGAGCTGCCAAGCGTCAAGGGCGTTGTTCCCGACTACCCCTCGTGAGTGCAAGTGTCGTATTCTCTCAGAGGCTCGGAGGGGGCATGTTATTTTGATCACATGATTTTTAAACTGATCTTTAATTCAGATATTGGATATGACGCCTGTATTTTGTAGATGGTTCGTACAGTTTGTGCTGCAGTGGTTGGATGAAAATGAGGACGTGTCTGTTGAGTTCATGCACGGAGCCCTGGAGAGAGACAAGAAAGATGGAGTAAGAACATTTCAATCGACTTCGATATTTTTGTTACGTGTGCAAAGAAAATATTTATAGCAACTAAATACTGTATTTGTATTTTTGTCCTTGCTCTCCGATGCCGCCTCAGTTCCAGCAGACGTCTGAGCATGCTCTGTTCTCCTGCTCTGTCGTGGACATCTTCACGCAGCTCAACCAGAGTTTTGAGATCATCAAGAAACTGGAGTGTCCCGACCCGAGCGTCATGGCTCAGTACAGTCGCCGCTTCTCCAAGGTAACAGAACTTAAAACTTGTTCTAGATTTGATTTCTTATCAATAATAAATTAGCTCTCTGTCACTTTCTTTCAAAAGCAGCATCTTGACTGTGACTAGTTTCGAAACCTGGTTTGAGGGATATTAAAAACAACTGCAGTATCGTCTGGAGAGACACTTTCTGTCAAAAGAGAATTGAATACGACTTCATCAGCGTTGAAGTGGATATAATACTCCGCTCCGGAGGGAACGAGGGGAAGCACAGTAATACATTCATACATTTGGGAACGTTTTACATATCCAGCAGAAACTATGTTCCCTAAAAGGATCAAATATTCCACTTCGTTAAACTCGCTGTGAACTGTTTTATTAGAAGTGAGAAACTTAATTTTAAAGCATTTGAAAAGAAACTGACTCTTAAGTTTTTAATTCTCTTCATTTTTTTTTTTTTATTACAGACAATTTCCAAAGTGCTCCTGCTGTACAGTGCCATTCTGACCAAGAACTTCCCTTCTTACATTGACAAGGAGAAGATTGTAAGTGTTTAACCCAGGTTCATGTTTTCTGTTCATTTAAAAGTGAAGGATGTGTTTCCTTATTATTTCACCAGCACTTTGAATTTCATCAAAAGTTGTCCAGGAAAAGAAATAGATGTTGAGTCATACGATATAACTTCAATCAAATTTGGGGATTTTTGTCACCACACCATCGTGGCACTGATAATGGACGTATTTAACAATAATCTCACTGTCCACTGTGTCTCTCCTGCGTCCTCCTGTAGCCCTGCGTCCTGATGAATAACGTGCAGCAGTTGAGAATCCAGCTGGAGAAGATGTTTGAGTCGATGGGGGCCAAACAGGTATGTCTGGAAACATGAGTGCAGCCAGTTTTTATCTGAAAGAGCCTCCAACTGGGTCCCTGAGAATCTCCAGTATGATGCTACTTAAAAAAAAAACATAAAATCACCAATCCACTAATCATTTCTCAGCCAACCCTGAAAGTAGGATTTTAGCGGTGGTCGCCTCTACATCAGCTGCATTTGTGTGTGTTGTGTATCAGACTGCAACAGAGGAAGCAAAGGTATGAGCAGTAGGTGTAGTGTGATGTAGATGTCCTGACCCTCAACACGGCCGTAGTGGATGTTGTGTGTACGTCATGAATCTTGCGTTAGAGGCAGTTTGTGTAGAAAGGTGAACATGTCGTCCCTGGCGTCCGACGTGACGCTGTCAATGAAAGCAGATCGATCTGGAGATTAGACCCCGTGTTGCCTAATAGACTAGAGGATATGGAGACAGTAGTGTCCCAAGTGTAGCTGCAGTTACGACAATCAATAACCTCTGTCAGCTGTGACCTCCCTCTGCTCCGACTCCCTGCTTAGTGCTGCTTCATGTTTACTGTAGAGGTAGTGAATTAGTTTTTCAGTGGTGCAGGAACAGGTAGCTGCTGTTTCAACCAGTGTGTTCACTTTGCAATTAAAGCAAAATGAATTGGTGGAAGAAGAGGAGGAGGAGGAGGAGGAGGAGGCAGTAGATGAAGAGGTAGGTTCACATCTGAGCCAGTGGAGCTAATGCAGCATCTTTCCTTTTGTGTTTATGAAAAGAAATGATTTCCCTCTTCCTCTGACGTCAGAAACAGGTTGTTACCGATGAGCAGGAGGAGGCGGGAAAGGCTCTGGTGCGTACTGCTGATGTAGGAGAGTAGAGAAGGTGTTAGACTAGAGCTAAATATAATAGAATTAGTCCATAATTCATATCGTGGAATATTTACTGAACTTTATTCTTTATCCCTGTTTTATTTAGTGCAGAATCAGCCCTGCATGTATAAATCTAAAATAGTATGAGCAGCTTCTTCTGTGTCAGGACTTAGCAGCGGATTCGATTCCGTCCCCTGAAAGTATTTTTCTCGCAAGTCTCACTCCTTCAGAAAATGACTGCGCCAATACTCAAACACAAGGTGGCGCTAGAAATGCTCTGAGCAGCAGTGGATATGTCATGGTGGAAATATTCCTTTGGTGGCTAAGAGAGAGTAATTGAGTTTTTTTTCTTTGTTGGTTTGATCCTTAAACTTGAAGCTTTGCATCATGATCAGATCGGTTTGTGTATAAATGTGTTGCTTGTCAACAGGAAGAGAAGGAATGAGAAAGAGATGTGGTGTGTAGGATCAGATTACAGTTGTTGTGCTGGGGGTGAAAGCAATTTAGAAAGTTAATTATTTTTTATAAATTGCGTTTATGACACAAATGATTTAAAAAAAAAAAACCCTGCACTGGTGTAGTGCATGAAGAGGTCATTCTAGTTTTAAAACTGATTTTAAAAATGTAAATTCATCTCTCACAGGGTTAATCAACTT